TTGATCTGCCCATCTTCATGCCAGAAGGGACCGTTGTGCCCATGCAGTCTGCCCAGCCTGGAGACCGCCACCCAGGGATCCCAGATTCCAGCCCAGATCTGACGGTCGAGCTAGAGCGGTGCTTTTAGGGACGTCTGATCTCCATAGAAAAACTCCAAGAGCTGGAGACTCTGCCCTATCCCTGGGGCAGTGATTCCCAGAGTCAATTCCCCTTCCTGGGGAAAATCTGCCCCTTATTCCCAGTCTTGATTTGTCTGGCTTCATCCACCAGCAATCAGCTCTTGCTCTGCCCTGTCTGTTGAGTTGATGAGTTCTCTGCTCCCCGAAAGCTCCTCCCCAGAGAGGTGCTCACAGACCAGGATCTAATCAGCTTGTCTCCTTCTCTGGGAGAAACTCACAAGATCGAGCTCCTTCAGTCCTTGGTTCTTGGGCAGGTTTTCCAGCCTTCGGATAGTTCCAGTTGCCCTTCTCTGACCCCTCCCCGATTCCCCAAAGTCCTGCTGCACAAAGACCAGTGGTAAAAGCCAGCCATCTGGGTTCTTTATCCAGCTCTGGGAAGGGAGCGGGTGTGATGCTCTGTACCTCAGGGGAACACCCAGCACCCCCATGTTCATCCTTGTAAAATGATTGTGTGGTATCCAATGCAAAGTTTGTCATGTTGGGTGTCTTCGGAAGGCTCATGATGCACTGGGCATTGTTGTTACAGTAGTGTTATAGTAAAGTTATAGGTTATAATTTCATGTATGTAGTTATGAGCCTGAAAATGTATCCTCGTGGCTTAAAATAAGAGCAGAGAGGCAGTTCACACCTCATCAGGGCAGGTATGGGACAAACGCAGCCCAGCCTCACAGGAACAAAGGATACTGGCCTGGGCAGCAGGTCTGATGGACTCTCGATTGAGTCACCCCGTTTCCTTCAGCCAGTTTGGGACTGCGATGAGGTAATGCTCACCTGACTCTGAAGGGGGGGGGGGGGGCAAAGCCAAGAGGAAAGAAAGGACATGATGAAAGAGAGAGACATTTGCCATGCTCTTCCTCTCTCTTCCACCTACATCTACAGACACAACACCAAGCGACTGAAGCACTGATCAAAGGGGAGAGGCTGGCTGAAGAGCAACTAGCCAGCCTGTGGTGAGACGCATCGTTAGTCTCTAAGGTGCCACAAGTACGCCTGTTCTTTTTGCTGATACAGACAAACACAGCTGCTACTCTGAAACCTAAGTTTGTAAGGACATTGAAAGTGTTAAGATCAGCTTAGTATGTGTTTTGCTTTTATTTCATTTGACCAAATCTGATTTGTTATGTTTTGACTTATAATCACTTAAAATCTATCTTTATAGTTAATAAATCTGTTTGTTTATTCTACCTGAAGCAGTGCGTTTGGTTTGAAGCGTCTCAGAGACTCCCCTTGGGATAACAAGCCTGGTACATATCAATTTCTTTTTTAAATTGATGAACTCATATAAGCTTGCAATGTCCAGCAGGCATAACTGGACACTGCAAGACGGAGGTTCCTAGGGTTGTGTCTGGGACCAGAGATATTGGCTAGTGTCATTCAGTTGCACAATCCAAGGAGCAGCTGACATGCCAGAGGCTGTGCGTGAACAGCCCAGGAGTGGGGTTCTCACAGCAGAGCAGGGTAAGTCTGGCTCCCAGAGTCAAGGATTGGAGTGACCAAGCAGATCACCAGTCCGGATAACAGCAGAGGGGAATGTCACAGCAGGGTCTACAGGTTAGAGCGGGGAGCTGGGAACCAGGACTCCTGGGTTCTCTCCCTCGCTCTGGGAGGGGAGTGGGGTCTCCAGGTGCAGCAGCTTTCATCCAACAGACCCAGACCTTCCAAGGCATTTTGGTGCCTTGCTGCCACTGATTTCCAGGAATGACAGTGGATCAATCTGCATAGCCCTTGTGATTTCCTTGCTGGCTCTGGGACTCCCCCTTCTAGCCCCACTTTTGCTCCCCGCTGTACAAACCGGCTTTAAGCCCTGGCTCTCCCTACTGAGAAACAAAAGTAGTAGACCAGCACGATCCCAAAGCACTAAAATCCTGGAGACAATCAAAGTGGCTCTGAGCCCGAGAAACGTCTTCCCTGCCCCTCCTCTAAGTATTGAAGGCCGCCACCAAAATCCAACTGGGTCTTGGCCATGGATCTTGTTCCCTTGAGGCCAGTGGGTTTTCAGTTTGATGCAGTGCACGAAATTCCCGGCTTTCAGAGCCAGCCGCGCTCCTGTCAGTGGAGCTGCTGGGTAACCCATAATATGCTCCTGTGGTGTGTTCAATCCACTCAGTGGTCAGGAGGGAAACCTGCCCCGAAATCTGTGTGCAAGAAGAACCCACTTGGCTCGGAAGGGAGCGAGGAAAAAGAGCGAGTGAAAAAAATAACCAGCAAGAGAAAAAAGAACATGAAAGGCAGAGAAACTGACTAAATACACATGCAGGTCTATGGCAGGGACTGGGACATGAGGCCTTTCCCTTCTGGGGGACGCCAGCTCCGACCTGCCCCAGGGCAGGGACTGGTAGGCTCAGGTGGGTGGGGAATGGTCCCCTGCTAGGGGGCACCAGCTCTATCTGGCTGCTCCAGGCTGGCTTGGCCTGTGGTTCTGTCTGGACCATCCCACCCTCCCTTGTGCCCTGCCCTAGGGGCCAGTAAAGACGGCCCTGTCCCGGGCACCTGAGCCCAGGGGTTTATTCCTGTGCTGAGGTAGCAACAGCCCCTGCTGCATCTTCCTTGCCTGTCCTACCCAGCGCAGCCCACTTGGGGCAGGCAGGCAGGGATCCCCTCCCTGAGCTCGCTGCCCTGGCTGCGGCCATGCCCTCCTTGGCAGAACCACCTCTGAAACCTTTGGGGGGCTTTGGGGGCAACTTTGTCCTTATCCCTCTTCCATGGAGAAACTGAGGGATGGAACAGGGAGAGGTGAGTGGCCTAAACCCAGGAGCCCTGGCTCCCAGACTCACCCCCTCCCCCTTCCTGTTGGAAATCAAGTGGAGGGAAGCTTTGCTGAGGGGGGGATCCCCAGCTAGGAAGTGGGGGTAGACAGCACCTATCAGTGGGTGGTGGGGGGTCCCCTCTCAGGCTGATCCCTCTGACTCCCTCAGACCGGGCCCTGGGAGTGTCTCAGAGCTGGCCACCACCTGGGTGATTTGCGGGGGAAGGAGGGTGCCAGCATTGTACCCATCCCCTGGGAGCTGAGGGGGTCTGGAGTACCCTCAGCTGGTTGGGGGGACACGGGCTCCCGCTGCCCGACGCTGCCTGATAGCATATGCAGGCTTTGGCTGATCCCCAGGGCACCGCCCCAACAAAGCCCCGCAGCACCCTGTAAATCAAACAATCCTCCTGGGCACAGCCAAGATGCCGCTGGCCAGGGAGCCAACGAGACCCCACTGTCATTGCCAAGGCTGCTAATTCCCCTCAGCTCAGTCGCAGCCCGGCTGGTTAAAACATCCTCTTGCCGGATTGTGCTTAACGTGGCCGCAGAACCGAGTGCGGAGGACCGAGCATTCTCTGGGTGCAGCAGCTTTCGTCCAGCAGGCCCAGACCTTCCCAGGCATTTTGCTCCCTCGCTGATTTCCAGGAATGACGGTGGATCAATATTAATAGCCCTCGTGATTTCCTTGCTGGCTCTGGGACCCTCCCTTTCAGCCCCCCTTTTGCTCCCCGATGTACAAACTGGCTTTAAGCCCCGGCTCTCCCTACTGAGGAACAAATGTAGTAGCCCAGCATGATCGCAAAGCCCTAGAATCCTGGAGATGATCAAAGTGGCTCTGAGCCCAAGAAACGTCTTCCCTGCCCCTCCTCTAAATATCGAAGGCCGACCCCAAAATCCAACTGGGTCTCGGCCATGGATCTTTTTCCCTTGATGCCAACGGGGTTTTGGTTTGATGCAGGGCACGAGATTCCCAGCTTCCCGGGCCAGCCGTGGTCCTGTCAGTGGAGCTGCTGGGTAACCCATAACATGCTCCTGGGGAGTGTTTAATCCACTCGGTGGTCAGGAGGGAAACCTGCCCCGAAATCTGTGCGCGAGGAGAACCCGCTTGGCTCAGAAGGGAGCGAGGAAAAAGATCAAGTGAAAAAAAATAACCAGCGAGAGAGAAAAGAGTGTGAAAGGCAGTGAAAGAAATAAAGGGAGAGGAAAAACATTAGAAAATGAAGGACAGAAAGAGCGTGAAAGGTAGAGGGGGAAAAAAGCAAGCAAGAACCTGCAAGCTACAGAAGGAAAGGAACGAAAAAGAACAAATGAACAAACACGAGCGCTAGATAAAGCTAGAATAGGACAGTGACAGAAAGAAGGACAGACTGACCTGTTAAGCAAGGTTCCACCCCAGATTCTTCATGTTGGGGGCACAGGCCCTCTCACTTCCCTTCTGGCTTGAGATCCTTTCTCCCCTGCTTGGGCTGACCATCCATAGGTGCCCCATGGCACCTCCATGCTCCCCAATTCTGACCTCCTTCCCACACGCTCGGGAAGGGGTAGGGGGAGGCGTCTTCCTTTGCGGGGCTCCAGCTGAGCAGCGCTGTGGGTCTCTCTCTCTGGGGCAGTTTGGTTTGGGTTGTTTAAGCTCAGTGACGTCGACTGCCAGAAACGGCAAGAAAGAGAAAAATTTTTTGTAACAGAAGGAAAGAGCAGGGGGGCATTTGTGGAGCCGGGGCGCGCACCAAAGAGAGGAACTGAATGCAGCCTAGCGCCAGCTGGAGCCCAGACACCGGCACCTGGAGGAACATCTCCAGAACCTACCTTGATTCTTCCTTCCATTGCTGCTCCCCCACGGAGCTCCCCAAGGGGGACGGAGGAGCGCATGGCGGACGGGGGGAGGGGAGGGTTGTAGAAGCAAACCGCCAGGGCTGGTTTCCTATTAGTGTGACCAATTTTTGCAAAGCTTTCCCCCCCTCCCCCATCTTCTTTTGGCGCTAGGGCTGGGCGGCTTTCTTCACTGCCATTGATGAGGGCAGCAGCACAAGGGGCTCAGGGCAGAGAATCAGGGAGGGAACTGTTGTGGGGGAGAGGATGCACGGAGGGTCACAGGGATAGAATCCCAGTTAGCCCTTGCAGGGCAATGGCGGTGCCATGGCTTTTAGTATTCAGGTCTATTGATCTGTACACAGCAGCATCTAAAGAGACCGGGGCAGAAGCAGGGCCCCTGTTGTGCTGGGGGCTGCACAGACAGAAGGACAGTCCCTGCCGCAGCTGAGATCAGGGCCCTGTTGGGCGAGGCGAGAGACAGGCCCTGCCCCAAAGAGCTTGCAGTCTCCATACCCAAAAAGTGGGAGGAAAAGAGAGGCCCGGTGTCACACAGCAGCACTGAGAACAGAACCCAGGAGTCCTGGCTCCTCCTGCTCTAACCAGCAGCCTCCACTCCCCTCCCAGAGCCCGGATAGAACCCAGGCGTCCTGGCTCCCAAAATGGGCGGGAGTGGGGTCTAGTGGTTAGAGGAAGGGAGGCTGGGCATCAGGACTCCTGGGTTCCTTTCCCAGCTCTGGGGTTAGAGTGGGGTCTGGTACGTTAGCACAGCTGGGGCTGGGAGCCAGGACTCCTGGGTTCTTCCCATCCCCCCCTTAACCATCTCGCACAGCAGGAGCGGGCTGGGCAGGAAGTGGTGATGGGGTGAAAACTACCAAGAAATGCAAATTCTCCAAAGAGCCTGTGCCAGGAACCATGTGGTGCAGAAACCACGGCCCCCTCCCCACCTCGAACCCCCCCTTGGCTGACATTGGATTGTGCCCCCTCGGTCCCCAATCCGCCCCCTATGAGCCCTAGGGGGGCAGAGAATAGCCACAGCATAGTGTGCCCCGGCCACGCCCCCAATCCTCCCCCTACGGGCCCTGGGAGACAGAGAATAGACACCCCCGTCCAACTGAAGTGTCGCAGTGACCAAAAGTGTGGGTATAGGACGGGAAGGGGGGGGGGGTGAGTGTATGGATCCGTGCACATGTTTATGTGTGAATCGGGTTCTGCAGGGATTTTGTGTGTGGGCGGGTGTTTGTGTAGCTGTGAGGCGGGGGGTTGTGTGTGTAGCTGTGCAGGTGTGTGTGTTGATGTGGCTGGATTTGGGTGGGTGTTTGTGTACGTTAGTAATAATGTGTGGGGGGGGGCTGGATTCATGCATGTGTTTGTGTATGTTTGCAATTGTGTGCGTGCATGCTCTGCTGCCCTCTGCTGGCTGCAGCAACAACCGCTTCTCCACGCATCACAGCCCCCATACCGTCAATTCCAGTGGCGATTCCCCCATCCTACACGGGCTGGCCGGCCTGACCCTTCACCCGTCTGCGGAGTGTGGTGGGGGCTTCAGCTCGCCCCCTGTGGCTCAGCAGGGTGGAGGAG